TGCAAGCCCTTAACCATACGAGTGGCCCTTCTCTGGACCCTCTCCAGGTTATCCACATCCCTTTTGAAGTGCGGCGCCCAAAACTGCACGCAGTACTCCAACTGCGGTCTGACCAGCGCCCGATAGAGGGGAAGTATCACCTCCTTGGATCTGTTCGTCATGCATCTGCTGTCATGACTCACAGTTTGAGAGCCCCTGGGCTAAGGCATTGTCATAGATTGTAAGGTCGGAAGGGATCTCAGAAGATCATCGGGTCCAGCCCCCTGCACTAAGCAGGAAAGATAACTGGGGGTCAGGTGACCCCAGCAAGGTGACTGTCCGTTCTCTTGAAGATTTCCAGGGTAGGTGATTGCACCACCTCTGGAGGGAGCTTATTCCACAGTCTGGACACCCAAACTGCGAAGAAGATTTTTCCTAATGTTAAGCCTGAATCAATCTTCCAGGAGTTTGTGGCCATTATTCCTGGTTTTCTCCTCGGGTGCCCCAGTGAACAGTTGCTCACCGAGCCCTTGATGTATTCCCCTTGTGTAGTGGTAAGCTGCTACCAGGTCCCCTCTCAGCCTTGTTTTCCTCAGGCTGAAGAGTCTGCAGATCCCTCAGCCTTTCCTTGTATGGCTTGCCTTTTAAGACTCGGATCATACAGGTGGCTCTTCTTTGGACTCTCTCAAGCTTGTCCACATCCTTGTTGAAGTGAGGTGCCCAGAACTGGTCACAGTACTCCAGCTGCAGTCTCACCAGTGCCGAGTAGAGTGGAAGAATCACCTTGGTTTTGCTGGAGATGCATCGATTGATGTGTGCCAGAATATTATTTGCCCTACCGGCTACAGCATCACACTGCCAGCTCACATTCGTACTGTGGTCTGTTATTACCCCTAGGTCCCTTTCATTTGTAGTGCTAATCAGTTTGGTGCCGCCAAGCCTGTAGGGGTGTTGGGGGTTGCTTGTCCCGAGGTGGAGCACTTTACATTTCTCAACATTGAACTTCATCAGGTTCTGATTCGCCCAACTTGCTAGCCTGTCTAGGTCAACCTGTATCTGTAGCCTATCTTCAAGCGTGACCAGCTTCTCCATAACTTGGTATCATCCGCAAACTTGGCCAGTGAGCTCTTCACCCCCACGTCCAAATCATTACTAAAGCTGTTGAAAAGTACCGGACCGAGCACCGACCCTTGTGGGACACCATTATCCACTTCTCGCCAGGATGACAGATTCGTTAACTACAACTCTCTGGGTCCTATCCTGCAGCCAGTCTCTCACCCACCTGTCTTGGAGTTAAGCCCACAATCCTCCAATTTTGTTGCAAAGACATTGTGCGATACTAGATCAAAGGCCTTTTGGAAGTCAAGGTATACAATGTCAACCTGCTCTCTTGTGTCCAGGTGTTGATTTACCTGGTCATAGAAGGAGAGGTCCACAATAAGATGTGAAAATGTATTCTTAAAGTGTGCAGCTTGATCTTGATCAGTTTAGAAGTTTGGTCTAAATTGGACTTTGCCTGTGTCCCCAGTTCAGATGTAGCCTTAGGATGCAAGGTATTGAGGCAGCTACCTACCATGGAATCAATGGAGTTAGGCACATGGGTCCTATTTAGGCCTCTGAATACCTTCAAGGATTTGTCCCTAAAGCCTTAGTGTATGTTGGTAAGGGTCTGGATCGATTTAACAAACTTATTGATATAAGATACCCCATGATGGCGGGGATGGAGTGGGGGGGTAAGGCCAGGAGTGGCTTGCCGCCCCCCCCCACCCCCGGTGGAAGTGGCAGAGTGACGCCATGATGGAGGGACTGGAGCGGGGGGCTGGCCTCGCCCCCTGCTCTGTCCCCACTATCATGGCGGTGCTCTGCCACCTCCGCTGGAGAAGCGAGGACAGCGGCGCTAAAGGTGATGGTGGCGCAGGGAGGAGGGGGGTGGAGAGGACGGTGAGGTGAGCTTTCTCCCCCTCCCCCCTCTTTCCCCTGGAGGCAGTGGCAGCATGGGGTGGTGGGTGGCCGCGCTCCATCCCTGCTTGTCCCCCACCCCCCCTCCCCCGTCATTCTTGACGAGCAGTTCGCTAGTATGTGTTATATCTGCGCATTCCTGTATCAGGATAATGAAACAGACTTAAAGTGACAGTGGATTAGCCCTATTTATATTGTCATCAGTGGAGAGATGTAAATTACATCCTAACAATTTGCACATATTCCTAAGTAGCACATCCCCTTCCCCCTTTAAAGAAGTTTAATAGAGTAAATCTATCTGCAACCTAATTTGTTGTGCCCCATGTTTCACTACCTTTATGATTGTTCAGATGAGATGTCCTTTTAGGATCAAGTAGCAAGTCCTATTTTCTCCAGGATTCTCGGGCATGTATCTCCATCACCAGGAAAGCTTCCTCATTGGTCTTTTATTCTGTGCTACAGATGTCGTCTATTTTAACTGACCTCTTCTTGATGACTGAGGTTTGGGCTCCTCTTTGCTTTCTGCACCTAGTCTCCTCCCTCGCTTCCACATTCCTACCACCACTGGCCTATCAGTCCTGCTGTGTGGCTGGCTTGTTCTCCTGTTAGATTGTTCTGTGTCTGGGACTTAGATATCTTAGTGTAGGTGCCTGCAGGATTAGGTAGGTAGTATAGGTAGGCAGGTAGGTAGTGTAGCTGCTTGCAGGTGTCTGCAGGGTACAGACATAGTGTAAACCAGCTTGGCACAGTCACAGCAAAACAAAACTCGCAGTGGTGAATTTCAGATACTTTGTGAATGGCTGGACTGCAGTGCAGCTGGGGGGAGAACAGAGATACTGGGCAAAACACCAAGATTGTGTCATACCTGTTGCCAAACTCTTGAACCTGTTGTTGCACTTAAAACTGACTCATCTTAAGGATGCTGATTCCATTGTTTTTTAACATTCTCAAATGAATGACAGTAGCCTGCTTTCTTACTTCTTTATACCAGAGTGCAGTGCATTCCTG